ACTGCCTCAAAGAAGGGTATAGTTTCTTGACAACGTCTAACAGAAGCTATACTTCCCTCTTGGACACCGCATATACCCATAAGGGACTCCCTGTGCCGTGTCGTCATTATAGTATGAAAATTAAGAAGGCTTTCACCTATAACAATATCCAAATAGGTTTAGTTTGCTTATTAAAATTTAAAATATTATTAAATTGAGAATCTAATATAAGGCTTTTTAAATCCTGCATATGTGTAAAAGAAGATGTACTGACAGGCCATTGGGGACGTATAAAGATTGCAAGCTGTCCTGTTCGAAGTTCATCAGTTAATTCATTTGGTTTTATCATTAAGTATACAGAAGGAATTAATTTTTGTTCATATCCTATAAGAAAATCATGATCTGACACAACTACAGGCTCATTGATTGACTGCAAGGTTCTGAATGTTTGACCTACTGCTGGTACCCTGAGACCTACTTTCGCTTTGTCATCTTGGGAAATAATAACAGACATATCAGCAAACATAGAAGCAAATTGTCTTACATATTTGACAGATGCAAGGCAATAATGCCCATCAGGATGTTCTTGAGTGTCAGTACGTGAAACTCCAGCAACAGCAACCTATGCCAGATGTTTATATGCCTTTGCAGCAATCGAATTGACCTGACGAGGTAAGAGATAGTTGTTAAGTGTTGTTCTTGCCATATAAATATTATATTTCTCCTTTAGATTCTTTTACAAATTTTCAATAATCTGTACTTTAATTACTTCTTTTTGCCTCTTTGGATTAGCTGATCCATATTCAACACAATCATGTATCTGGTTATGTAGATCTGGATATTGAAAAAGCAATGATAGATGACTGATCTTATCATATCTAACCACCTCTTGGTTTTCAGTTAGTATTTTGAGTTTCTTTTCTCTGCAGTTTTAGGCATATCTTGTATTTTTTTTTAATTTATTTATTATTTCCTTATTTGTTTTAATTTCTAATTCAGCCTTATCTATCTCTTCATGCATTTTATGTAAAATTTGTATATCAGTTGTGATTTCACATATTTGCTTTAATTCAGCTATTTTTTTTTCAATCACTTTAATCTCATTTGCTATCTTTCTTTGAGCTATTGCATTAACAGAAATTTCTATTGTAGGTTTAACCTCAATAGTAGTAGAAAGATGAGAGACTGGTTCTATTTCCATTATAGAGCTAGGATGGCTTGTCTTTATTGTTAGTATATTATAAGAATTAATTGGAGTGGTCAGGTATTCTTTGATTTTACTATCTATTTCAGATGCACTTTTAATTGTTTTTCATTCTATTGCTGCTTCACTACAAATGTTTGCATGATTTAGAGAGCTATTTTCTGTTTTTACCATAATACTGTATATGTAAGCATTAGTAAATTCCTGATACTTATTAGTTGGTGATTTGTAAATCGACTTTTTATTAAAATTTGGGCTAAATAAGTAAGTTTGACGACTTATTTTTAGTTTGAAAAACAAGAGATACATTTTTATAAGTTAAATGAAGTTTATTTTTTTTTTTAGAGTTAGAATTTATAAACTTAAGAAAATTTTTTCATATTAATGCTAATCTGAAAGTTTCTTTTATTAGTTTTATAAATGTCTTATATACATTTTGCAAATGATTTTTTTTTTATTTAACATCTAATCTAATCTTTTAAGCATATCTAATTCATGTATTTTTGAAAATAAAGATTTGAGGCTATGTAAAGGAGTATTTTCATTCTATTTTCCTTTTTTATTATAAAAATTTTGATTTTTCTTTGGTTTCACTATTTTTTTATTTTTTTTTTTTTACTCCTTATCATGAATTCATAGCTACTTTTAAAATTCACCATATGCTTTCATGTGTATCAACATAGCCTCGTTCGAGATTCTACCTATTTTAGTTTAATTTAATCATTTTTTCTTTAATGACTATGATCTTAATTACTTTCTTATTTAGGTTAGCACTATTGGACAACATTGGTGATAAAATTACGTGCATCATACGATGAAAAGTTATGGTATGCATGTATGTACATACTTATATCAATATCTGATATAACTGATGTGTTGATTTATTACATTAAAACAAGAAAGAGGTACTATGAATTTGTAATTTTTAAATTATTATCATTGGGATCCTTAAAATGTGTGTGATTGTTTTTTCACAAATAATGCTCTAAATGTAGAACTCGTTTATGAAAAGTTATATCTCTATTCCAGAATGGTGGTGAAGGTCTGTAAAATACTCAATTAATTAATCTATACTTTCCTTAAAAAAAAGAAAAAAAAAAAAAGACAAAAAAAAAGAAAAAAAAGTAATTTGTCAAAAAAAATAATATATACAAACCTAAAATGAACAAGTGCTGTTCCAACGATCTATCAACCCCATTATATTCTGCCATTTTAATTATTACTTTATATACAGATCCAAACAGATTAAAATGATCTTTTAAATCTGTTGCTATGGCTTTGTCCTGTACATTCGTAACTCTAAAGACGAGTTTCCTCTTGAGTTCAGTAATTAGATGGAATATAAACTCTTTTATTCCTATTTCCATTATTACTACTACCATTATTGTTTCGACCTCCATTTCTGTTTCACCCATTTCCACTATGACCATTGAAGGTTCCTCTCTGCTGATCTCTATTGTCACTAGGATGTAGACTATTACCTATTTATACTATAAAACCACCTTCATCATACTTGTAACCATAAGTACCTCCTTCATTCATCTTAGAGCAGGTGTAATAAGAATAGTCATTATTGGCTGAATGGTCAATGATAGTCTGCATTGGATTTTTTTCTACAAGGCGATGAGTAAAAGATGAAAGAGAATAAGGGTTTTAGTTTACTTTGTAAATAATGTTTAGACATTGAAAAAATACTTAAGGCTTAACATTAAGTAATGTTCACTTTTTTAGTGTTGCTGTTATCTACAAAATAGGTAGATGCTGGTAGGTTTTTTTTATTTTTCTATTGTACTTAATGTAGTTATTTTTATTTTTATGAATTTCAAATGATCAAGATAGAAGTATTATCAAATTAACTAGTTTGAAATCGGAATGCATGTTAGATCGTTTTCAGTAATACGTATGTCACTTTACAATATCAGAGCAGCACAAATATGTACCAGATTTATGGTGCAGATTTGAATCCAATTCCAAGATTAGGCATAAAACAAATGTTTGTTTCGTCAAACAAAAAGTTTTTGTTAGACAATTTTACTTAAAATATTCTAGCTTCTGATTCTAATCCTAGCATGAACGAACTTTAAAGAATTTTGCAGTACCACAAACCTGGTACATATTCAAGTAGTATAATATCAGATATACAGCAAAGAAAACTTTATAAATTGATTAAACAGCTTCTTACTTTAAACATTGATTTCATTATTAAATGCAGTTGATAAATTAAAAAACATGATAGTATAGTATTAAGATTGCTAGAATTAATTGTATGTCGAATTCTTTAGGGACAAGTTTAATTACATTTATTGGGAATTTAGCAATGAAAATTTGATATTATATTTGTGCATTGTGGATGTTTAGATCTTTTTAGACTGTTTGATAGATAGTTTGACTTTTATTTAGCTCTCAAATCTGATCTAAGAATGCATATTTAGATACCAAAGTTAATTCAATTTTAATTGTTTAAAGTGTATTTTAATAAAATTTTGTGTTAATTTGCTTGTCAGTATAATATTGATGTTTTTGTATGCATCACGTGACTGTGTTTAGTTAATTTAATTGGTTAATTTTATTATAAACAATCTTACATGAGGGTGGAGGGGTTAACTGTTATATTAAATAGATATTACGTAATTAATGTCAGCACCCTTATCTATTTGAGACTTATATATAATAAAATTGTATTTTTTAAAACAATACCAAAACTTTCAAAATTAACAAACCTTTGTCTTTATTTTCAGCCATATATTCTTTACTTAAGTTGGTACTTCCTAGGTCAATAGCATCTGAATAATATGTAACTTGTCAATTTGAATTTTGTTTTATACAAATAAACTATTTAAGATAACTATCTAAAGTGCTAGTCACATAATAAGTAACAAAAACCAAGTTTTGATTTTGATACTTATTATGCTATATAATTAGCACTTTGAAAGTTATCTAATTCTATAATATCTAGCATATCAACATCATTATTTTATATTTAATAAATAAGTTATATTGTTATTGAATTGGTAATATAATTTAGAGTTATGATTCACTTATCTAATGGTGATAAACTTGGAATTGGAATTGTCTATTTAGAAGTCAGTATTATATAATATGAAGTCTTTGAATTGGGTTGAACTATTTCTTTATAGCATAAAAGATCAATAGCAGATAAGGAAAATTATACTGATTCATCAATAAAAGGCATTGATTGTGCCAAGATATATTTGGCAGTTGGACTTTCAATAGGCTACTGCTATAAATAATATTTTAATATTCCAGAGATTGTTTTGACTTTGGCTTTTTTGTTACTTATTTTTTTTGCAGGTGGTGTATATTTTTTATCATTATTTTCATCATCTATCTTGTCAGATAAATTACTTACTTCTTAATTTCTGTTTGGTTCCAAATTGGCAAAACAAGTTCTAGCAATATTATGACTAGTTGCAACAATATTATCCTTACTCACCAAGTTATATCCAACACAAATATACTGCTTAATTGCATGGGTTATTTGTAAAAAATAAAAAAATAAAAAATATTAGAGAATATCAATGTAATATCTTTTTAGATACTTACTAATGCATGGTAAGAGTCAATTGTAGTTTTTGCCTCTTTCAGTTTCAAAAAAAGCCAACTTCTGACCTTTATATTATATTAAACATTTCAATGAGAAATAATAGTCATCAGCTCACTATTGTGATAATGTGCATCATTATCAGAAATAATTTTTATCCATTTTGGCTTTTTAGAAAATATAGAAAACATTGCTTCAAAGGAAGATGCTATGAACCATGCATCTTGTTTTGTATCAGTAGACCAATAGTCAAATGCTTTTATTTTTAATTTATTAATTTTTTTATCTAGTGTATATACAAGAATTGTATGAAGCATCCATTCTTTTTTTTCAAAGAATTCTTGTTTTGTTTCTCTAGCAGATCGAGACAGCATATGCATTTTATAATCAGCAATTATAACTGCTTCATCAGAATTAAGTTGTGATAATGCTGACTTAAATTGTACATTAAGATATACTTTATGTGCATGATGAGCTAGCCAATATATAAGTTTTTCATTTGTTTTATTTAGTTGATTATAATATTTATTTATAAGCTTTTTTTTAAAATTATTCAAACAGAAAAATTTATTACAGTTGTTACAACATAATGTATGTATATTATTACAATCTTTAAAAGCATAAAGGAGACAATAGTTAATGCATTCATTATGAAAAGTTTGTTTATTTGAGTTAATAAGTAGTTCTTTTTTAAAATTTCTTCTCATATAATGTTTTAAATCTTCAATACATGTTATTCATAAATTCTATATATTGTAAGTATATTATATAATAATCTTATATATTTATTCAAATTGATCAAATATTTACTTATCAATTCATTTTTATTCTCTATTGCATTTCTAATAAATGCAATTAAATTATCAAATATGTTATAACTATAGTCATTACATGTTTAACAAAGTTCTTCTAAATCATTATGATATCAAAATTGTATTGTATTAGCTAAACATGCTATAAATGAAGTTTTATGCATTCCATTAGGATATATATTTTAAAATTTGGTCCATAGTGCAGTTTTTTGATCTTGTAAATACAAAATTGGTAAGCTGCTTTTAGGGTCTGTTTGATATGAGCTTTGGCTAATATTATCCTGATCTTGAAAAAAGTTAAGAAATTGTTTTTTTTTTAATCTCAAACATTTGCACTAGTTTTCTTTTTGTTAAGTCAATTGGAGATGCTCCAGGTTCATATAGTCTTGCATGTTTTTGTGCAAGATCGATAGTATTTGAACTAATCTAAAAAAAAAAAAAAAAAAAAAGTAAGTAAATTCAAAAATTAAAAATTCTAGTATAATAATCTAATATTAGAAGATTTTGTTATAATATTAAATAAGAAAATTTTTCTGAGGGGTGTGGTGACCTAGTGAAGTGGTTAGGTTGTCAACTCCCAAGTGGCAGATCCAAAGTTCAAATCCCAGTATCGACAGAAAATTTGAAAATCCTCTCTGTATTATGGTTAACTGTCTCTCACAATTAGTTGGGATAAGATATCTGTAATCTATGTCACACCAGCATGACTGGCAGGTCACATGGCATTTGTGTAATAGTCACATGACATTGTCCTTTAGAACAAGATCTGTAGTTACATGAAGAAATGCAAACTGGTACTGGGTGGTGCAAACCTACAATAAGTCTTCATGACCATGTAAATTATAGAAACCAATAGAAGAAAGATGGAAGCTCACTTGGAAGACCTGAGTAGAGAGGTAATCTGAGCTTTTGATGGTGCTAATATAAAAACTAGACTTATAAAATGGAGCTAGAACTTGTGAAACTAGGCAAATGTGCTAGTCTTTAAGAAGGAACTGGATGAACCAACCAGGCCATCGGAATTTCCAGATTTCAAAGAAAAAGGGTACATGCTAGCAAACATGTAAACCAGAAGTACAGTCTCGCCTTACCTTTTCAGCTATCTGGAATGGCAGCTTGGTGGAACTTGAATTGAATACCAAAGTAGTAAGAATATGTTATGAAGTAAGTATCAGGGTTGGGATGAACTCTACAAGGGTATAGCAGTTTAATGGTATATCCTGACCACCAGTGTTGGTTTCAGCCATAGCGATACTAGGTCAGCTGTAAGAATGAGATACAAAAGATTCTGGAAGTTTTAGTACAAGATCAAAGGTTCCAAAGAACTGTTTTAAAGACTTAGTGGCCATGGCATATTTTCACTGACATCAGCTGAGATTATTGGTAGACAGAGGTAGATAGGTAGATATGGAAACAGAGTGGTTAAATAGAGAACCTACAAGTGGGTTCTAGATATAGCAGCTAGTGTAGAACCTTTAGGCAGACTACTTAAATTAGACAATGACTAAAGTTGTATGAGTGACTAGTTGTATATTCTTTTCATGGTTGCTCTCTGTAGTTGTAAAGCACCTATTAGCCAAATATACTATCAATAAAATACTGGGTTACAAGTACTCATCTTAATATTTAAAAAAAAAAAAAAAAATTTTTCTGCAATTATAGATAAGAGTCAAATTCTATTTTTTGATCCTCATTTGTTTGTATTTTATGTTTTACAAAAATAATTCCAGAAAACTTCTTCTTGGTCTGTATTTATTAAAACTAATTCATTATCTTTATAAATATTAAGCAACCCATTTGTATACAACTGTTTTATATTTTTTATATCTATTTGTGGATTATTTTTTTTTTTTTTTGGTATTTAGGTAAGGCCTTGCTTATATCTTTATTAATAATTTAAAATAGTTACATATATATATGCTATGGCCGAGGCCAACACTTGCAG